TTACGTAACCACGAAATCACCTTTTCCGCCGCCGATTTCATTGTTTCATGCACTACAACGAAATGACTTATTCGATCCCAAAAGTTCTGTTTTCGCAAGATTCGACCGGCATAGGTATTCTTCGAAATCTATCTATCATGCTTATACTGTCTAGTTACTGCGGCAATCAATGCTTGCCGACGACATCCTGCACTGTTCAACAAAAGCTTCGAACCAACAAACTGGCCAATCCAAACTCCCAGGCAACCAGACGCAGAAATACATGATTTTGTTGTAGATTCTGGACACTGATCGCGTGATTCATCCGCGCCAGAGACACAGTTGTGCACGCTCTACTTTCATAAACGGCCTGGTTTGCATGACGCCTCCTTGCCTCGTTTGCTAAGCCGTGGATCCCCCTTTCGTGTCCTACTTTCCGTTTGCAAGTTGCTTATAAATCTAAAGCTCAGCAGAAAAGTCAGGATCTCGAGTCCACTTCAGCACACAGCTCGGCACCGTCGAGGAGCTCCGATTGCCGAAGCACTGGCTGCATCACGAATAAATGCACACACACACACACACAAACACACAGATATACACACAGAAACACAAACGAACAAATCACATAAGTTATCTGGGCAACCGATTCGTTGCTATCTGGATACTGTGATCCGCATGTGCATCGATCGACCGAGGGAGATCCACTTTTGCGTGTTCTGTCAGGCGGATGGAATGTATCCTTGTCTCCGTTGCTGACGCCTCCGACTGTGTGTCTGGGTGCAGGATAGCCTGATCCTGACGTCCTGTCACTTACAGAGTGCATAGTCGGTAGGAGAGTGTGTATGCATGTACATATATATTTATATGTGTGTGTATGTGTGTGCTTCCCAGCAAACGCTTGGAACTTCGACTCAATTGGGCGGCTCTTGATGATCCCTCGACTTGCATGGTCTGTTGGGCAGATACCAACCCAGTCATGAGATATGTCTAAACCTTATTATTGTCTTATACGGTGTTGTTTGAAGGTCCGATTCTCGTCTAGCATTAGACATTCCTAGACATTGTTGAGGCGCTTATCAAAAATTACCTTTTTGCTTAACTCATTACTTTTTTACA